CAGCCAGACCAGCTCTTTATAAGAGCCAGACCAGCTCTTATAGAATGGACCTGGGCTGGGAATCCAATGCCTTTCCCGACAATATTAATATATTTATAGGATTTCAATCTAGGTAATGTTCTAGATAAAAAGCTTACCTGGAAGAAAAATGACTTTTTATTTTATGAAAAATTCCATCATAAAATCAAACAATTGAACAAGGCCAAACCACGCGGCACAATGTTATTTGGAAAATATTCAGTCATATATTTAGAAAATATTCATTGGAAGTTGATAATGACCTTAGGCTGTTTATCAATTTATCTGCTTCATCCATGGGGTAAAGCTTTGTTATGCCTTCGATCTTTATTATGATCAAATCAAACCCAAACCTCTGGCGTCTTGGAATGTGAACACAGCAGGAAAGCACAGGCCCTGGAGAGGAGCAAGACTCCACTGCTCACTGGCAGCTCCTTCTGAACTCTGTGACCTTGGGCAAGGACCTTCACTTCTGAAACCTTGGCCTCCTTCAAATATCAAACAGTGAGGAGGGGCTTACGCTTCCTGGGAAGGTCAAAGAGAAGAGCCTGTGTGAGAATATGCAGGGTCTACTGATGACCTCATCAAGCACCAATGGGCTGATCCAATGGTCATGCAGAAGGTCCAGTTCAACTAAACTGGTCTAAGTCATGGACCTAGGAAAGGGGAATGGTAGGAAAGCAGGGAGATGGCGGTGGCGGGGGGAGGGGGGGTTAAAAGCGGGGGAAGAGTAAGCAGAATATATTATATACATGTGTGAAAGTGTCAAAAAACAAAATCAATCAATAAGGAATCATAAAATAAAAACATATATAGGATCTAGCAATCAGTGAATAGATAAGCAAAATGTTATACATCCATACTGTATTACTTTTTAAAAGGTTTGATCATTTTTATTTATGTGTATTTATGCATGTTTTCCTATTTTTATGTGCATCATGTGTGTGCACCTATGGAGGCCTGGAGAGGTGTTAGATCCACTAGGGTTGGAGTTACAGGAGGTTAAGAACTGCCAAATGCTAGGAAACAAACCAGGGTTCTCTGCAAGAACAGTATATCCTCTTATCCTCCAAGGAATGTCTCTAGCCCCAAATATCTGATGGAAAGAATTCATAAGAATGAGGATTTATTTTTGCTCCACAGTTTAGGGAACATCAGTCCATCATGGCAGGCAAATCACAACAACAGGAAGGACTTCTGCCCACGGTACAAAAGTTTGAGACTTTGTTACACTTTGACGGGTCAACAAATAACAATATCAGTCCTGTACCAATAACTGCCATCTGCCAGACAGGTCCCATACCAGCTGTCACCAGGTGTTCAAAGCCATGAGCCCGAGGCTGACAATCCATATTCAATAGTACCACACAGTGAAATAGCATTCAGTCTTTAAAAGAAAGGAAATCTTGACAGGTGCTAATATGTGGATAAACCTTGAAGACAATACGCCAAGCGCTAGAAGTCAGATACAAAGGGAGAAATGCCCCATGCTTCCATTTAAATGAGGAGCCTATAGTAATCCAACTCAGAGAGACAGAAAAAGAAATGGTGTTTGCCAGCGTCTAGGGGGCTGAGAGAATTGATGAGGGGTCAGTGTTTAATGGGCAAAGGTTCTAAATTAGTGAACTTGACACTAATGAACTGTGAATTTGAAAACAGTAACAATGAGAAGCTTTACGTTCTGCATAGTTCACCACGAGGAAAGACAAGGGTCAGACAGAGCTATCTGGTCCTTGGAGAGTGTCTGAAGAACAGATGCTCCTAGAAGCTATCATAGCCCATTCTCTTCCACATCACTGCTGGGATATTTTACCAAACAACAGCAAGGCTGGGATTCGAAATGATACAGTGCAGGCTACCATCTCCGATGACGGTATCAGCAGAACCTCTGCCGTGGATTGGGCTGTACCAGCTTGCACCTAAAATATCAAGGAAAACAGGGATCATTCCAACCAGAGGAATGCTTTGAATTGTCTAGTGAACTTGGAAAGGACGTGGCGTTGATCGCTGTGGTGTGTCTGAGTGAAGCAAGGCAGACTCAAAGTGTTATGGACTCTGCAGCACCAACTCTCTGATCCATGTGATGGAACACATGATCTGTTATCGGTTTGGCTGGCATCAGCCCCACCCCCCTACATAAAAGGGACAAAGTTATCAGCCGACACAGGACATGGCTCCAACCACTGCAACGACAGTTTACACTCGAAGATTTTGAACATGTTCCTAAAATCCCATGGGCCCCTGAGCAGAGTCTGAGCACTGCATAGGCATGTCTGGAAACTTAACTACTGTGGTTTGACTATGGTTTGGATACGCCTCCCAAAGCGCCTTGTGCTAGAAGCTTGATGAACAGAGGCAATGTTGGGAGGCACTAGAGCTGTGGAAGGTGGCTAGGTCTCTGAGTGATGCACTAGGATGGAATTAATAGAGTTCTCATGAGATCCTAGTTGCTATAAAAGAGCCAAACCAAC